GATAGCATGATTTCAACAAGCATACTTCTATTGATTTCAACTTTTAGAATTCTCCACAATGAACAATGAGTAAATGATTATAAACAGCAGGTAGGTTTTAATTCAGAAAAAAAAAACACTATCAACTAGAAAACAAATTTTATCAGTAACAATCTTCTAGGTGATGTTTTGAAAACTAAAGCAAAGGTCGACTGGCAAGACCTCTATGACATAGTTCAGCCAATTTGATTTCTGGTTGAACCGGATATGCTTGAAGTGGAGACATGGTTCACAGTTTGACGGGTTCAACCCACTGGTTCGGTGTAAACATTACTAGGGGTGAATGCCGTATCAAATTGACTGGAAAACTATTTAATTCATTTTAGCGATTTAATATAATGGATATTTGAAACGATTAAGATTTATATGTTATGTTTAAAGCAAAAGATTTATAAAGCTTTATGCAATTCTCAGGTATTGTAGCATACAAACACTGTAACTGAGTAGCAACTGTGGATTTTATAGTTTGAAAGAATATATATCCTACCATTTTGTAAGTTAGTCTCTAATGTTGTTTGACAAAGTCAGGATGTGGAGTTTGTAAACACTGTTCAAAGTCACACACCTTATGTGCTAAGTGTGTTTTTACTCTTGAACATCTGCAAATTCTTATGACCAAAAGAAGCCACAGAAAACAGCTAGTTAAAGCCTCATTAGTTGGGAAGGACTTGATTGTAATTTATGGATAATTTGGCTTATAATTGAGTTATAATTCTCATTAATGTTTGAGCATTTGCTTTCGTCAATACGGAGAAAAATTTTATGTGCAAATTACCTGTCTTTATCCTTATCTGAATGTTATTTTTAATATCATTTATTATTATCTGATTTTTTATTTTTTATAATGTTTTGCAGTCCAGATTAGCATTGAAGCCAGATGGATTATTTTTAGCAGCTATTCTTGGGGGAGAAACATTAAAGTAACATGCTATTTTTATTTCTTGAAATTTCTTTGGAACACAAATGGATGGAGGATTTTAATGATATTTGTGCTGTTACCAGGGAGCTCAGAATAGCTTGTACATTGGCACAGATGGAGCGTGAAGGAGGGATCAGTCCCCGAGTATCACCTTTGGCACAAGCATGTGTTATTGTAAAAGTATTATCTTGTGAATTGTTTATTTATCAGTTAAGATCATCGGTATTTTGAATGTAAGCGTTACTGTCTCTTTTTAATAGGATGACATGGTTGTGTGTTAATTGTAAAACGGAGGGTGATGTTTGGTTTCTTGGCGTAGCTTGCAATTCTTGTTTGATTTTTGAGAGTTAGCTACCGGTGATGACCTGCTATTGGTGCATTCCCTACTAAGTTCCTTTCTAATTACATGACTTCAATTAAAGGTAGCCTCCTCAGTTTCTACTTTATAATTTATATAATTCTCATTTGGTTGGTTGGTTGATGTAAAGGTTCCTTTTATAGTTTGTACTCATACAGTAATTAACAAGTGACAAATTATGATGGGTCAATGGTGATAAATATTCCCCACCACAATTGCAAGGATAGTTTGCTTTCTACTATTTCTTTCTATCTTAATTATTATATTTTATGGTTTTACGAGTTTTATCACTAAACTTTTAAATTTACATATTTTATCATATTAAAAAATTTACAAATTTAATCTTCTTAATTATCACGAGAGTTAGTGAAAAGACCATGATCATAGACCAAAATATCTTATTTCTTAATTGTTATTTTCTATTAGCTGGTTGATATTAATATGGTTCATTGTTGTTTTATACTACTTGCCTCTCGTCTGCCTTGTCTATTTATATATACTTGCAATAATTTATATATATTGTTCCTAGAATTTATTAAGTTATACTTTCAGGTGTAATGTGTTGATGAAGTTATACTGTGCATTCATGTTGATAAGTAACATAGGAGGGAGTCAATATTGAACAAAAATATATTGCTGAGAAGGTTTCTGATTTACTCAAGGTATTTATAACCTTTTTATCATTGAGTTTTTATAATTATTACTGTTAGAGTTGGTTTTAGTGGACAAATTCAACTTGGTTTTATATGGACCGACCTTCATTGAATCCGAAAAATAACAATCTTCATAAAAGAAGAAAACGACCTCCGTAGAACACCTTTTTTAATTTTTAACTTACTACTGCATATACTTAATGCGAACCACATGTTCATTTCGGAAACCAAAATCAAATTGAATAAAAACATGAAAGAATAAAATAAGAGTATAGTTGATTAGTTGGTTTTATATTTTGCATTATGTACTGACAGCTACCAACTTTACAAAATAAAAACATGAAAGATTAAGAGTATAGTTGATTAATTGTACAAATTAAATACGCAAGATCT